GAAGGAAGGGGAAGAAAGAGACAAGGGTGGCGAAGGTGAAGGTGTCGGCAGCCATAGCCGAGGTGGAGAGTTGACCGGGCGTTGACCGGGGTCTTGCTGCGTTGACCGAGCGTTGCCCGAAGAGTTGACCGGCACCGTTGACCAAGACTTTGACCAAGCTGGAGTTGGTAACATCTCGCTAAGCCCTTAGCCTACCCCCTCACCCTGTGGATGTGCACTCACCTGGCGGTACTTGCTGAGTCTGAGTCTGTTTGTCTCTCTTTCTGCATTGAGTCTCTTTTGTCCTAGGTGATAGCACTCTGTGGATGAAGGATAGTGTTTGGATGACGAAACCCTAGGCTGACCTTGTAGCGCTGAGACTGTGGCTGATCCAACTTTCCAGGGGGGCATAACCCTCCCAAGGACCGGTGCTGACCGGCTGGAAACGGTTGGTAGGACTCAGTGGGCCTGAACGGCAGTTAGGGCTGACACACTAGGCAGTCTTTAAGTGTTGAGGGCCTGTTGGAACCACTCCCCTACCAGACCAAGTAAGGCTGATGATCTCTGTCTGACGACTCGACTGTCCCGGGGGATACAAACCCTCCTAAGGACCGGTACAGACCGGCGGGCTGCTCGGTGTGGCACAGTAGGCCGGAAAGGCTGAGTTGTGGGCTGAAAGCACATGCAGAACCAAGCTGATCACGTCGTCCTGTCTGCGACGTTAAAGAATTCTTGCGGAGTTTGGGGGATCTCCTTAAATGCCTCCAGATCAGCCACTGGTTCAGTAGTGACATCCTTAGAGTAGGTCTAGGCTAGTGACCATAGATGACAGGGTTCTACCCTGTGGTCCTTAGAGAGTCTGTCAGTGAGTCTACGGGTTGGTCTACGTGGTGAGGAGTGGGACTGTCCTGTCGTGCACCTGACACCATGGACGATTACCCGATGTATGGTTTACTTGTTGGGTTCTCCCTCTGGGGAACCCTCTGACGTCTCCTCTTTCCCCTGGTGTTCTGGCACACGTTCACGTGTAGAGTCGATACCAGGGGTGGTGCCTCCACCAAGCCCTATACAAAGGAAGAAGAGGAAAGGATGGCCGCCATATTGAAGGAGAGGCAGGAGAAGAAAGAGGCCAAGAAAAAGGCCCTGATGGAGGCACAGGCGGCGAAGTTGAAAAAGATAGAGGAGGAGATGGCCAGAGAGAAAGAAAGACTAAAGAAAGAAGAGGAAGAGAAACTAAAGGAGGTAGAAGAGGAAGAGGAGGAAGATGAGCAGCCACTAGAAAGGAGGAGAACGCAACGAGGGCAGTACAGTGGCAGCAAAAATGAAGAGATGGAGAATAGGATTTCATAGTGGGTTGCCAACTTGTCTTTGGGAGAAGAGGAGGAGGTAGCCATGTATATCCCCAAGGACGAGCAAGAGGCCGCCGTGAAGGAATGGGATGCAGAAGGAGATGCTTTGAAGCGGCAGGCGATGGAAGATGAGAAGAGAACGGAGTGGAAGTTGAGGATGATGAGGGAGAAGAAGAAGAGGGTGGATGCGGCCAGTGCAACAGTCAAAGAGTTAGAGGAGGTGCAGAAACTGAATCTACAGTTGACCCCTCAAGTGAACCTCCAACGAAAAGTAGAGATCATTGCCTAGAGTGTCGAGCGCTTGGCCCGAGTGCAGGAAGAACAATATGAGTTTAGCAGAAGTCAGGATATGGCTGTGCGCTCGATGCGGATGGGGTTTCGAGACTTTGCTCGCAAACTGGTAGGCGCTGTAGGAGCCGAGGTGAACCATCGCCTCGAGAAGACCGAACGATTTTGCGTTGGCGCCATTAAAGGCGTGAAGGTCACAGCTCCCAAGGAGGAAGAGGCATATCCTCGCAGGGAGCCAGTCAAGGTCAAGTTCCCTGATTCCTACAGTGGAAAAAGGGAAGAAAACTTTGACAATTGGGAGGCCAATGTCAAGACCTATGTGCATTTGCAACAGGTTTCCCCAGATCAGCACGTGTTGATAGCCATTCATGCGCTTAGAGATGAGGCAGCCAGTTTCGCGAGGTCCCTAGTCCGCTCTGCCAACTGCAATGACGATGCGGTTGCATACTCTTCATTCACCCCCCTCGTAGATTTCATGAAGTTGTTGCGCGAGCGATTTGCTGATGTCGCCCGCAGTGTCAAAGCCTCAGATAGGCTTCAGACCATCCATTCTCGTCAATGGAAGAGTGCCAGGGCACTAAAGGGTGTTATGGACGAATTGGTAGTAGCTATTCCTGACCACGGGGTCACAGAGACCCAGTTGGTTAACCTCTTCTACAGGGCCATGCCCGAATCCCTGCGAGGCCACTTCTTTGCGAAGAGTCAAGATCCTGCTATGACGTACGATGCACTCAGCAGGGAAGTGGTGGCCTTTGAGGCAAAGTCTGTGTCAGTTTTCACTTTTTGGCACAAAGACTTGGACAAAGGAAAGAAGTGGAAGGGTCGCACTATCTCAGGGCAAGTTAAGACCAAGGATAGTCTTGTCCTTGAAGGTAGTGTTGAGGAGATCCCCTACGAACAGATCGAGTGGGGATTAGAGGATGAGGACAGTGTGGTAAGTCAGGGGAGAACTTATGTTGCTGTCGCGGCTGGAGGGAGGCCGCAAGGAGGAGGACGAGGCCAGGGCCAAGGAGGCCGGGCCTCAGGGGGCCGATTTCAGAGCGATCAGGGGGTTGGCGGCAGAGGAGGAAACCGCCAAGCGGGAGGAAGGGGTCTAGGTCCCCCGCAAAACCGTTTTGGGAATAGGTCTCCTTATAGGAGAGGTCGATGGCACCCAGGGCTACCACAGGGTAAGCCTTGGGAAGATTTGGGTTTGGACAAGGGCTTATGGCAACAGCGTGTGGACCGGGGCCAGTGCATTTATTGCGGTGACCCGGGCCACATCATTAAATATTGTCCTAAGTATAGAGAGGCCCGATCGGCTGCTCAAGGGTCAAACGGCCGTCGCCGGTAGGGGTAGCAACTGCCCCTACCATTAGGCCATGTGGGGAAGATAGCGCTAGCCGGCAGGAGACTCCCACACCCCATGAGCCTATGGCAGAGGTTGCAGGCCGGTGTCTAAATAGTTGTCCAGAGACTGCTTGTGTTAGGGTCTCTTTAGAAACCTCCCTCACAAGCGTGGCTAAGGAATTGAAGGAGAGGATGCCCGCCTGGGTCAAGATGAAAAAGGAACAGAAAGGGCAGCTCATATTAGTAGATGTAGGGGCCCTAGTAGATTCAGGGGCCACCCGCAGCTATATCAGTAAGAAAGCGCTGCAAAAGTTAAAGCTGGGACTTCAAGTCCAGAAACTAGCAGACCCCATAGTATCCTTGCAGACAACAGTACGATGGTTGTAGAGGGAGTCTAGGCGTATTTCCGCCTAGAGAAAGATGGGAGAGTGGAGAAGGTCCTGCACTCCCTGACTCTCCTCGTAGAAGACAGCCTCCCATTCGATATTGTTCTGGGAATGGATTGGGGAGAGGCAGCCGGGGCCACACTCCATTTGAAAGAGCACGAGTGTAGGCTCCCTAGCCCTTCAGGCGAGGCTAAGACCGCCCGCCTGTTTCATGTGTCAGGAGTAGAGAACCCCCTGGCACATTGCTGCCTTAGTGCTCCTGCGTTCGCAAGATTAGTGAAAAATGAGCAACTGGAAGAACAAGTCTTTGTTGCCTATGTTAGGCCAGTGACTGAGCCTAAAGAGGAAAAACCCATCGACCCTGCTATTGCCAAACTGCAGGAGGAATTTAAAGACTTAGCCGAGCCGCCATCCGGAGTAGTGTCGCGGCCCATCCAGCATCGCATTGAGATAGAGCCTGGCAGTAGAACTCCTAAGGGTGCTGTGTATAGTATGTCTCCGCGGGAGTTGGAGGAGCTTCGCAAGCACCTAGACGAGCTCCTTGAGAAGTGTTGGATTAGGCCCAGTTCGTCGCCATTTGGGGCACCTGTTCTCTTTGTCCCCAAGAAAGAGGGAGAGTTGCGGATGTGTATCGACTATAGAGGTCTGAATGCTATCACAGTGAAGAATGTTGAGCCACTACCTAGGATAGATGATCTCCTAGATAAAGTGCAAGGGGCCAAGTACTTCTCCAAGATAGATTTAAAGTCCGGTTATCACCAAATCGAGGTGCATCCTGACGACCAGTACAAAACAGCCTTCCGGACTAGATATGGGCATTATGAGTTTATAGTGATGCCCTTTGGACTGACCAATGCGCCAACAACGTTCCAGCGCTGTATGAATGATCTGTTTAGGCCATGGTTGGATAGATTTGTAGTTGTTTACTTAGACGATATTTTAGTGTTTAGTAAGACCCTCCAAGAGCATCAGGGTCATCTGAGATAGGTCTTGGAGAAACTCAGAGAAGCTAACTTCAAGATCAATGCAAAGAAGTGCGAATGGGCAAGGACCCAAGTGTTGTACCTAGGCCACGTCTTAGACGGAGATGGCGTCAAGCCAAAAGACTGCAAAATCGCAGCGATTAGAGATTGGCCCACACCACGTACGTTGACAGAGTTGCGGTCATTCCTGGGCCTAGCCAACTACTACAGAAAGTTCGTGAGGAACTTCTCCACTATCGCTGCGCCCTTTCGCATATTACTAAGGAAAGAAACAATCTGGAAGTGGGATACGGACTGCACGTCTGCCATGAAGAAATTGAAGCAGGCATTGATAGAGTACCCAGTCCTTAAGGTGGCCGATCCGTCCCTACCCTTTGTCGTCACTACGGACGCCAGCCAGTACGGCATAGGTGCTGTTTTACAGCAAGACGATGACAATGGGTATAGACCCGTAGAGTTCATGTCTGCTAGGATGCCTTCAGAAAAGGTAGCGACATCTACTTATGAGCGAGAACTCTACGCTCTCAGGCAAGCGTTAGACCACTGGAAGCACTACTTGCTTGGGAGGCACTTCAAAGTCTATTCAGATCACGAGACGTTGAGATGGTTAAAGACCCAGGCCAAGATGACACCTAAGCTTACTAGGTGGGCCGCAGAGATAGATCAGTATGATTTCGAGATCAAGCCAGTAAAAGGGAAGTATAACATAGTTGCGGATGCTCTGAGTAGGAGAGCGGACTACTTTGGAGCGATAGTTCACTATCTGGACATAGGGAAGGACCTGCAGCAAAATGTTAGAGAAGTGTACGCGCAGGACCTCTATAGTGACCTTCTTAAGAAAGTAAAGGAGGTCCCAGAGACCGAGCCAGATTACCGCACTACTGAGGGGTTGCTCTTTGAGAAGACTAACGTATTTGACCGATTGTGCATTCCCAATAGCGAAGAAATCCGTAGTCTGATCTTAGGAGAATGCCACGACACAGAGGGTCATTTCGGTTGGCAAAAGACTCTGGCCAATCTAATGCACGTGTACACCTGGCCGGGTATGAAGAACGACTGCATAGAGTATGTTTGCAGTTGTAAAGTCTGCCAGCGGAATAAGACTACTACGTGTGCCCCTCTAGGTCTTCTCAGACCCTTACCTATCCCTGATCAGCCCAGAGATTCAGTGTCCATCGACTTCATGGACGCGGGCGTCAAGAGAAGACATGGCAGGAGCCAAGTCATGTTGGTAGTCGATAGATTCAGTAAATATGTTGTTTTTGTTCCTTTGCCTTCAGAAGCACGGACATAGTTAGTCATTCGTAAAATTTTTGATCACGGGGTCAGTGAGCACGGGGTCCCATTGTCTATAGTTAGTGATAGAGACACCCGGTTCACGAGTCAGAACTGGCAGGAGTTGATGAAAGTCTATGGCTCTAAGTTGCTAATGTCATCTGGCCGACATCCAGAGACCAACGGTCAGACTGAGCAAATGAATAAGATTCTGCAGCAAGTTCTGAGAATGTGCATTAGACCAGATCAAGTTGACTGGGATGAGATGCTTCCCAAGGTAGCCAGCGCTTACAACAATAGTGTGCATCTGTCTACGTGCCGCACTCCCAACGAACTGCACAAGTCCTTTAGACCGCGCAGACCATTTGAGGGACTTAATCGGGATCAGATCTACAGGCTACCGCCCGGTACTAGGAAGTTCGCTATACAGCACGAGAAGGAACTAGCTACCGTTGCAGAGAACCTCAGGAAGGCCCAACATAGGATGATAGAGCAAACCAACAAACATCGTCGCTCCTCACAGTTCCAAGTAGGCGACTTAGTTTGGGTCAGCGCGAAAGAGTTTGCTCCTGAGGAGAACATCTCGCAGAAGTTACTGCCTACGTATAGAGGGTCATGGCCGGTTCTAGAAGTCAAGGGTGGAGAGGATGGTCCATCCTATACCGTTGAGATTCCACTACACCTCCACACCTACCCAGTTTTCCCTGCGTCAAAGTTGTTGCCATGCACGGTGAGCGATCAATTCCCATCGAGACAATCCATGATCCCACCAGACATGGATGGAAGATATGACATTGACGGCATTGTAGGTGAAGATGTGTTTAGAACAAGAGGTAGGGGTCGTCCTCAGAAACAGTACAAGGTCCGATTTGCATATCAGGAACCAGAAGACGACCGATGGTACACCCGAACTGAACTTCTAGAGACAGCTCCCAATATAGTCAAGGCCTATGAAAGAGATAGGAAAGGTAAAGGTCCTGCCTTAGACTAAAATTTTCTCGGAGGACCTCGAATTTAGGCCGGCGGGAGTGAAACGGTATTCACCAATTCGCAGTAGCTGATGCAGATCCCAGGGCTCGATCCCTAGATCCCCACCTTACCTGTGTACAGTACCTGTGTCAACCCGTAGAGTTGAACCTGCGACCTGTAGGATCACCAGTGGTTAGTAGGATGTCATAGGTTAGAGGGTATAGGGGATTCGAACTGTAGACCTGTCGGGTAGGAGTCTAGACAGTCCAGAGGTCGTAGCTGTAGACTTTCCAAGAGGTCAAAGTCGTAGCTGCTACTTACCTGAAAAGGCAGAGTCGTAGCTGCTACAGTACCGAAAGGCCAAGTAGATAGTTCTAGAAGTGGCCTTTTGGAGTCAGCCCCAGTTTAGGCAGAGGCAAGTTGTGGAAGTCCACCACGCAGAGTCAGCAGTCCCAGTCCAGTCAGTCCGGTCCAGTCAAGCAAGTACCGTCTGGGACTGTGTGCACCGGGGGCCAGGGAAACAGGGCAGACCAACGAGTCACAGAAGTATAAATCCAGAGGCCGCGCACAGTCATTCATTCATTCCTGTGGAAGCCATGCGGGAGCTCTGCCTCAGCGTCTTATGCGAGGAGGTCTGCACTGTGCCCGAAGTCGAAGTGGGTCAGGAGCGTAGCATAGCGATAGGGTAGAGGCAGCCATAGATGTAGTAGAGTGTGTGTGTGTGTGGTGTGAGTGTGCAGAGTGATGCGTGTGGGATATCCAGGGTGATCCGGTGTGTGAACAGTGGGTTGTTGGGCGCTGAGTCGCCATAGCAAGTGGAAGTGAACTCGTACCTAGAGGCCATATCTCTGAGTATTGTGTGGGTGCATGTCGCCAGTTTGCTGTGCCGCTGTTCACGTGCATGAAAAGTGTGAATAAGACGAGTCTGATTGCAAGTGTATGTGCGAAAAGCAAGAGTGTGAGTAGCCCGAATCACCAAGATTGAACCCAAGATCATTCATGGAAGTTGCGGTGCATTACCTACTAGTGTATGAGTGAAAAGCATGAGTGTCGGTAGCTCAAATCACCAAGATTGCATCAATGATCATCCATGAAAGTAGCGGTGCACTACCTACTAGTGCATGAGTGAAAAGCATGAGTTCGAGTAGCCTAGAGCACCGAGATTGCATCAAAGATCATTCATGAAAGTTGCGGTGCACTACCTACTAGTGTACGAGTGGAAAGCATGAGTGTGAGTAACCCAAATCACCAAGATTGCATCAAAGATCATTCATGAAAGTTGCGGTGCACTACCTACAAGTGCCGGAGTGAAAAGCATGAGTGTGAGTAGCCCAAATCACCAAGATTGCATCAAAGATCATTCATGAAAGTTGCGGTGCACTACCTACTAGTGTCGGAGTGAAAAGCATGAGTGTGAGTAGCCCAAGTCACCAAGATTGCATCAATGATCATCCATGAAAGTAGCGGTGCACTACCTACTAGTGCATGAGTGAAAAGCATGAGTTCGAGTAACCTAGAACACCGAGATTGCATCAAAGATCATCAATGGAAGTTGCGGTGCACTACCTACTAGTGTATGAGTGAAAAGCATGAGTGTGAGTAGCCCAAATCACCAAGATTGCATCATAGATCATTCATGAAAGTTGCGGTGCACTACCTACTAGTGTATGAGTGGAAAGCATGAGCGTGAGTAGCCCAAATCACCAAGATTGCACCAAAGATCATCCATGAGAGTTACGGTGCACTACCTATAGTGTATGAGTGAAAAGCACAAGTTTGAAGAGCCCAAATCACCAAGATTGCATCAAGAAGCATCCATGAGTGTTGCGGTGCACTACCTACTAGTGTATGAGTGAAAAACACAAGTTTGAAGAGCCCAAATCACCAAGATTGCATCAAGAAGCATCCATGAGTGTAGCGCTATACTACCTATTAGTGTGAGAGT